AAAACAAAGACGGTAGGGGGAGAAACAAAGAGGAGGAAGGAGAAGAAACACAAAGAAGGAGGAGATGCAACTGAGGACATTACGTCCTCGACCATCAAACCTCCCAAAACAAACAGGCCTTCAAAGGCAGCTCAGTCCAGAATTTTCCGAGGATTTCAATCTGAAGTAGAACCTCATGTTATGAAAATTATCTGGACAAGTGGGGATAGCCAAACGAACGCCGTGAGCGAGCTTCACAAAGTGAATCAGAAAATAGAAGCATGGAATAAAGAGCATAACTTTTGGGCTGCAGATGGTACCTTTGATATTGACGACTTTATATCCATCAATCGTGCGATTGAGTTGGCGATTAAAGAAAATGATCCTAATGCATTTGACATTGCTAAGACACGCATGGACAATATTATTGAGCTGCGCAAATACCCAAGATGATGGCAACTTCGAAAGAAGGACTTCTTGAAAGCCGCTAAGGTCTATGACTCGGAGAAGGAATACTTCTATACCCCCCTAAGCCATCACGGCGCTTCAACACATACTCGTGGGAAATCAAGGCCCAAAGGCGACAAGAGGCCTGGTACTCCAACACCCACCAGCAAAACAAAAGGAAAACAGAAAGTGATAGGCAGCTATCAAAGTGAGGAAGAGCCGAGTAGTGATGATGAGCTTGCCGCTTCAACACCCCCCAGCAAAATAAAAAGCAGACAGGAAGTGAAAGGCAAAGAGAAACGCACAAATCCGCAAAGTGACGAGGGATGCTCTGCCCCCAGTACTCTCTGAGTGATCTCCATCGCCTGCACTGTAATTCCCCTATGGGAGTTAGGGAATTGGAAGATAGAAAACCATGCGGTGTCAGCAATCCCTGGGGCAGTGAGCTCTTTGAGGATTGCCAGAATTTTTAGTGAAAAGGTAACAAAGATAGAATTCCATGTGGTGTCAGCATCTCTGGGAAAGTAAGCCCCTTAGGGAATGCCACAATTTTGAGTTATTAGCGACCATAGTAAACTTCCCTTAGGGGCGCCATAACCTCAGTAGAGAAGGCCACGAAATTAAAAGTCCGTAAGGAGCCAACGTCCATCAGAGGATGGCACAATGCTGAGTGAAAAAGCCACAGAAAAAATGCCCCTGGGGGGCATCAGCTTTTTTAGGTGAATCATGATTTCAGGGTTCAGCAAGCGCTATGACTTCGGAGAGTAGTGGTTCGAATTTATAAGTGGATAGATTGTAGATTCGGCGGCTGCATCATGACACATACTTGTGAAAACAGCCAATAAAACTTCGACGAGATATACTTTCCAAAAAGAGCTTAGTGATGATTTCAAATTAACCCTAATTTACAACAGAATCTTTCTTCTATTCTTGCTTCTTCTCAAGTTTCTCTTGCTTTCCCTTCTTCCCTGCTCCTAGACTTCTGATATTGCATGTAGTTCTCGCACGTTGTTCGAGATGGAGGTGGATAATGCTTCTCCTGTTTCTGTAAGAGCTACGTCTTTCCAGGGCTGTATGCATGGCACTCACTATATCCTTGTCTGGTGGTGGAAAGTGGCTGTTCGAAGCATCAGACTTGTTAAAGTTAATCGTAAAGTACCAGTTGTATTCATGGATGAGGAGATAAACGCCCTTGCAGTGACAGTCATCAAAGTAGCTACGCAGCATACGCTGGAGTGTGCCTTTCCGTCGGTAACGCATCTGCACGAGGCTACTGTGCTCAGTACATGGCTTCTTGACACGCTTTGAGTCTGATGTTTGCATGGTGTAGCATTTAATTCCAGTGAAGGTGAAGGATCTGGGACTTGATTATTATCACTTGATATTATGGGGAGAGGTCTCAATTTATAGCTACGAGCGAGTGTTGTGCTTCATTAAGCCAAAAGTCGCTTTTTCAAAGTGTACTTCTGTCGGATCTGACTAGTCGGTTTGCTGCGGCGCTTGCATGCTTGGGCCGCGATCTGCGATCCGAAACCGTGGCCCACCCCATTGTGTCTCAATTTTCCACTCGGCCACGCGATCCGATCATTTATGCTAAAAGAGAGCATGAAAGTTAAGAAGGAAAAAAAACCAAAAGCCGACAAGAAAAAATAAAAAGAAAAAATAAACAAATAAACATAAATTAATGACTGGATTGATTGGGATTGGTAGCCCTGGATTGAAGCCGAGTACGCTGAGATCTGTTGCAACAGAAAAGCCAGAAGGTGAAGAAATAGGTCAAAAAAGCTGGAAGTGTCCTTACTTGAAATCACACCGTGCGGAATATGGAATTCGTTAATCTGAATGAAAGGATAGAAGCACACTAGAAAATCGAATGCAGAAATGCATAAATTGAAAGATGCACTTCCCTGCGCCAAGAACCGGCTAAGCCTTACAGCCTGTTGGACGAGTGTCGAGGTACGATGAGATACATAGCGCTAGTCTGTAATAGGAATCGAGAGCCCAAACGGCAAGCCGCTAAGCTTTAAGCCGCTAAGAGACCTGCTGAGAATAATGCCAGCGCGATTCTGTTTATTCTCACAAAACTTAAAGCATATACGAACCATCCAAGGAAAGGCCTACAACATACTCTAGCTCTTATTTCTCGAAACGTCTCTGTATTTTGAGCTTCAATATTTAGTTTACAGCAATGGAGATTGACAATCACGCGATAGAAAGCAGAATAGAAGGGACGGATAC